CGCAGGAGAGACTTGAAGCCCCTGGCGATCTCTCCGCGGTGGTACAGGAAGGTGTGGCTAATGGTAGCGGCATAAACAGCGAACTGCATGAACAAGTTAGCGTGACAAAGATGGATGTACTGCTACTTACGAAGAAGCCGTAAAGCAGCGTGTTAGCGGCGCTCAGATACGCTGGTGAATAGTTGCGGTAAGCTTCGGGGTCGAACAAGCCTTGTTCGTCAATAACGCGGGATACGTTGTAGCGCTTTCCGGTATTGTCCCAGACAGCATTGCTGTTGATAGCAATATGGGAGGTCTGGGGTGATTACGGAGAGCGCAGGAGGGCAAACAGCGGAATGCAACGCAACAAAATGAATGAGAAACGACGAAACAAACACAAACACAAATGACAGTACCTGCCAAACGTTGGTGAACCACATTGCGCAGATGATTGGCAGCGCAACAGCCGCCCCGGCAAATTGCTACAATTTCATCATCAGTACGATCGGAGAAGAAGGGATAACGGCGTGCTAGGATGATTCGAGATACAACTCACGTTCACAACCGAGTAAAACGGTGTAACCCAGGGATCAAGGCCAAGCTGATTGACGTCAAAGGTTGGGATCGGGTTCAGTCCAAGACCTGAAGCACCAACGCTGCCTGTGATCGCAGCAAGCCTACGTTTCTGTCAACACCAACGCCTCGTCCACCCAAGTGAGAATGACACTTACTTGACGTTGTTTGGTGCAATCCAGACCATCCAGTTGAAGAAGGACAACAGCTGGAAAATGTAGTTTGGGAACCAGTAATACACTTGGAAGAACGTCAGGAGTGAAATTTTCACCAAGCTCAAGTAAACTCACCAAACATTCCTACGCGCGTAACGGTCTTAGGAACTTATACGGTACGAAATCAGGTTTCACGTACCACAGAAGCAGTACAAAAAGTACTTCCTATACCGGCGGTCAGCAACTAGAAGGTTCATGGCTCGGCATGCTATTGTTCACTCACAGCCGCGAAACCTGCCAGCCATCTGCCACCTCATTTCGTCCCGAGTGGAAGGCGCGATTGAGAGCGATGGTAGCCAGATTGTTGTACCAGATCCTAGTATAACGTGAGTAGGAGCTTATGCACAAGGATTCTGGTGTCACAACTTACGCATGGACAGGATACACGAGGAAACGGCGAGTCAGACCAGCAAGACCGTACCCAATGAAGTTGGTGGACAGGGCGATGAGAATCTGATAACCAAAGTTTCTCGCCCATTGCATGTTGAAGTAACGCTCGATACCCTGGACGAAGACTGCCAGACATCAGAAGAATATGAGGCAACAATCAGTCGGCTGGACGGACCGATGTAATTCCTGCAGGATTTAGACTTGAGCTGTGCATATAAAGAGCTAAAGAGATGGCTCACGTGTAGGGAGCGCCAAAGCCAACATTCGCCACTGTAAGGATTAAATGGTCAGCGGAGAAGGACATATCTTGAAGCACGAACTGATGGTGATAACCATATGCTCCTTCATGTTGAATGGACCGCTTTAGGATATTCTCAGTCACATAGCCGACGGACACAAAGATGTAGACATACGGGTTAAGGGAAACGGCCTGGCCGAAGATGGTAACTGATGCCGTGGGCAGGATTGCCTCAAGGAGCTTGCCAGCGGGGAAAGCCAGAACCTGGGCAACGTTGCTCCCAACGGCTGCAGCCAATCATCAGTTTGAAAACAAATGCCAGAAGGAACAATGCATACGCACAGATGGACGGGGTGCGGACCGAGAAGAACCTTCCAAGCGAGTGAGCAGCTGCAGTCGAACTAACCGTCTCTGCTTACTGGTTGATGAATGCACTGTGAAATATTTGCGTGAGTACAAGCACGCCGTGTGAGTTCTCATAGAACGCACCCGGCAGCGACAAAAACAAGACCGATGACCCAGGCACTGAACAACTCTCAGTAGGCAGCAACTGAAAAAAGAACAGCTTGTTACTGACCGGAAAGTGTTCGCGGGTATGGTGGGATCATCGTGATTGTCGACTGTGGCGCGAACCTCGGCGTATGGAGAGTTGAATAAAATCAGAGCAGCTTCCACCCGCATCTCCTGGTAGACCTTTCGATACGAAACAGGGTCGCGGTGCTGAAGGTCCGTGTCCTCGATGTACGTGCGCGCAATCTCGAGTGCAGCCGGGTTGAAGTTAGGGTCCGTGCCATGCTACACAGGAAGAATGTGTAAGCTCAGAAGGCGGATCACCCAGTATTAGTGCGGATGGCAAAAAGGAAGGTACGGACTTCTTCCAAAATATGCTGCGCTGCCTCACGAACTTCCTCGTCGGTGAGGTTCTCAGCGTTGGCGATTGCTTCCTCGATGTCAGCCCCCACGGCCTCCATGTCTGCCTCGAGCACAGTCTGCACAACAACGGTGGTTACTAGCGGTGTCAGAAATGTCCGTGCAGAGTTACTCACGAGGTCGGCGACATGGCCATCATGGCCAACCTTCTCATCCAGCGACGCCTTGTCCGGAGACGGCGAACGTTTCTCAACGACTGCGGACGCCATGGTGACTTTCGCGTATAGCGAGAAGGACTCTGTGGCTGGTCAAGAGAGGACGGGGAGAGATGACCGACGCGCCGGAGAACGCTGTATTTATTGGCCTGTATTTATTGCATGTATTGGCGTACGATACACAAGAACTCCGTCTATCAACTCCAAACATGTCTGGAGGAGTGCGGCTCCGTTCCGGTGAGTGCGAAACGGGCAGGAGCCTGCGGTGCACATGGACGCTGCTTCAGATTGACCGCAGCTGTGTTATAAGTGTGGAACGCGGAATTCGACGGCGTCCGGGAACATCGCACGCTCGGGCACACGCTGTTAGCTAGACACATTTTTCAGAGCCAAGTTTACCACTTGCGAGTTCATTTCGACAACAAACGCCAACGCTTGCAGGTTCGAAGCCAAGGCCGAGCATTGTGAAGAAAGGAGCTCGACAGTAGAAGTGTTCGGTATAAAGATTGGAAGCACATGCTGCAAATCTCGGAGTCAGCAAATGCTCCGAATGAGCTGATTAGATGGTGTGTTCTTCCCGCTGTTTTGGCAAAGTCAAGGGAAGTCGGTGCGCTAGCCAACATGGCCGCTTGAGTTTTAGCCCCGGGTTCGCAAGCCAGCTAGTCGCCGTTAAGCCATCAGAAATCGAGTATGATTAAGTCTAGGAAAGCCAAAGGCTCGCACGCCATCCCAGACCGCATGGCAGACCAGAGATACCGGAAAGCATGACGATATAACCCCTGTCGATAGTGAAGCCTTCGCCGCAGCTCTCCGCAGCACTCCACATGGGCAGGCCGGGAAGCTCCTCGAGTCCTCATGGTGGCATCAGCGCTGGTGAAAGAACTTGGCGAGAGAACTTGGCATCTCGGTCACATGCGTCGATGGCCGAGCACTGCAACCGTCCGCACAGCACTCGTCCGTAGACGACTCGTCCACAAGCCGTGCTGACTCAGCAGTGAAGCTGGGCCTGCGAGCATCAGCAATCGCCCAGAGAGTACCACTTGTGCTAGGGGGTATTCAGTCCCGGATCCGACAAAGGGCAGTCGTGCAACAGAATGCAAAGTGCGATACGCAATCGGCGCCATGTCACTCTTCACGAACGAAAATAGAGTGAGCTTGGAGTAACCCCGTCCAGACATGAGGCAGGTTTCAAAGCGATGTTCAAAGCGGACGTTGTGGTGCGGCAAGCGAAAGCGAGCGGGTCTGCCAGGCGAGAATGGTGGGAGGAGGAGAAAGAGTCATGTCGGATTGCCGGAGGCAGCACCAGTTTAAATCAGGAGATTGCGACCCCGATTAGGAGTACCCCGTCAGCAATCCGAAGCGTCGGCAATCCCCTTTGCTTGGCTTGATTTTGATATGGAAACTCGTAGTTACTTGAAGAAAATAACCCGTCAGGTGTCGGGCATCCGAGCCGAGGCTGGTTCAGAACCCATCTCCCCCAGTTATTTACCTCGATGACTTACTGTTATAGTCGGCATGACTCTTTGTTTATTCATTGTAACGTGCCGGTCTATACCTGAGTCGGGAATATAGCCGAGCAGAGTAATGATGGCGTTCATAAAACATCACTGCTACCGTAGATGAAGAGCATAACCGTCATCTCGCCGTGGTTCATGGGAATTGACAAGTTGAACCAGCCGTTACCTTCTGTCGTCCCCTCGGAGAAGTAAAAGCAGCGAACGCTCCAGTGCAGCCATAGGCGAGTCAAATAATGACACATAGTCCGGCTCCGGACTGTTGTGGAGAGGCCGTGCTGCGGGCGAGCGTTACAGTGGTGAACTTGTTCCAGCACATTCTCGTGCCACCGCCTCCCTCCCTCCTGGAGGCAAAACCATGGTCGTGCCCAGAATCGAACCGGGATCTCAGTGAAGAATTAACTGCGCTGTTACCATTTAGCTACACGACCTGATGAGAAAGCTGGTTCTCCAGAGTATACAACCCCGAAAGAAGTAACGGCACTAAGTGGAGTTCCGTCCAAACAAAAGATTGTTCCCAGCCATGACATTCAGCAGCTGATTAATTTTGACGTATGAATCTGCTCTAATGTCGCCTGTGGCTCATCGTGAGGCCAAGAAGTCGTTCAGTCAAGGCAGAATGCGCCGATAACCAACAACCCAAGAACGTAATTCTATAAAGAGCCTAATCAGTATTCCAAGCTTTTTAGAGCACTTGGAAGACGTATTACACATGACACCAAGCCAATATCTGCATTAACCAACGTCGCCGACAGGCGAAGATCTCCGCGTCCGCTAAGGTAAGTTACGATAGTGGCAACTGAAAGCAGAACCGTCCGCCACCTTCTATGTACCTTCTTCTCATCCCCGCGGGGGTTAAAAACACGCAGAGCTCACTACAGCACTGTGCAGCTCAGTGAGAGAACGACACATAGTCCAAGACTTTTGTGACGGGGCGGCGGTGGCAAACTACTTCGAGCACATTCTTTCAAGTTCACCGCCTCCTTCCCGTCAGATGCAAAACCCTTGGTCACGCCCAGAATCGAACTGGGATCCTCAGGATGCAATAAACTGCGCTGTTACCATTTAGCTACGCGACCGGATGAAGGCGTTGGCTTTGCAGCATACTTGACAAAGGAACCATACCGAAACGCAACCACTCTCACATCATCAACAGTCTGTGCAAATGAGATCCAGCTTTCAGGCTATACTCAGCACTTGGGACGTGGATGTCAGCTTCGATTGGAAATGAAGTCAAGATCTCTTCAACCGAAGTCACCATAAGGTGAAGACTAAGGACATACATATCCGATTGATGATACAACAATAATGCGCCTACCGACAGTTTGAATATCTCTTAGGAAAGGGTCACCGCGGCTTCTTCAGTTGCGCGAACCGCTCGGCCAGGTCTTTCAAGTCATCGTCCGACGTCCGCTTCTTCGCAACACCAGACGGCGCAGGCGTTGTCCTCCCAGGCGTCTTGTCGCCTTCGGTAGGCGGAATATCCGGCAACTTGGGCCCATCATCGTCCTTGAAGTCTGCTGCGACCTTCTTTGCAATCGGCTCGCTGAGCAGCGGCTCCTCGCGCTGCGGCTCCTGTTCTGCAGGCTCCTTCAGCCCGCCGCTCGGCGCGTCGTCATCATCACCACTGGCGGGTGGGGACCACGGGACGCTGTATCCCTTGGCGATCTCGTGCAGGTACGCGTTGACGAGCACGGGTGCGGGTGTGCCGACGGCGAGCTTGGAGTGCACGCGCGCGGGCACGATGCCGTTGCGGTTCTCCATGACGGCGATCGCGTAGTCGCGCCCGAACTTGTGCATCAGCATCTGTGTGGCGCGAGCGGGCGGTCGGTCAGTACATAGACCGCGCAGCTGCGGACTGGGGCGGAGTACTACGGACCTCGCGCAGTACATGGAGCTCTGTGCGATGCTGTCAGCGGTTACACGCGCAGCAGCTCGCAGCAGGGAGTCGGCGTACCCTTGAGTTCGGTCCTCGGCGCAGCATGCACGATCGCGGCGACGCCTTCCGCCACTGCGGGGTCTGGCTCGCGGTTGCCGGCACACATGTCGAGCATTGAGAAGCGGGCAATGAGGAGTTCACAGTAGAGCTCCATGAGTTCTAGCAGCTCCAGGTAAACGTCCTCGTGGAACATGCCCTCGACCTTGTACCGTGCCGTCTCCTCTCGCCCGCCTTCGAGAAGTGTGGCGATTTCTCGTCGGGCCATCTTGGCGAGGGATGCCTTCTTCTCCTCGAGTACGCGTAGCCGCTGTACTGCGAGCCTGAACGCGCATAGATGATGGAATGTCAGTGGTAGCGCACGATAATTCCTGCAACCGATCCGCACCGAAGTTGGACCTCAGAACACGCCGTTAGGATGCGCGTAGTGAGACAGATTGAGACCACATACCTTTGTTCGCGCCGAGTTGTAGACTGCAGCAGGCATCGCGGATTGCGCGAAATAGAGCAAAGGCAAGCTGCGCGCACCATCCGCTTTCGACCGCATCAGGTACTCAGGTACAAGCACCCAATCGCAACTCGACTAGGCACTGAGAAAGGTGACATCTGAGACGAAAAACAGTCAGGAAAATGCGAATTTATATTGCATCTGCGCACTGAGACAAGAATTCGGGTGCCAAGTGTGACGTCGATCAGAAAGTGGCAGTTGATCCTCGCCAAACGCGACTCGCTGAGAGCCGATGCTGGCTTTACTTTGCTCTACCACGACCGCATGTCACCTGTACCCCGTCCAAGCTCGCGTGCTCCTCCTGCACGTAGACAAGATCCGCCTTTGCACCCTGGTGCGCTGAAGCCGCCGCCTGAGCGGCCCGACGAGGTAACCGTGAGCGCTTCGGTACCCGTAAGAGATTGCAGCCTACGCCCAAGCAGGCTCTGACAGCTCTTTCTGTAGGCCGTGAACCTGGAGGTGACCACAACCGTCACCCCGACCCTGGCTGCCGCCGTCAATCACAAATCTGGACCCACGATCGCAGGCTCACGCGGAGGCGCGTGCCACATCTTGCTTTTCCGCTCCCACACTCCCACTGACCCTCTTGCTCTCAACAGGCTTCATCGGGCTTGTTGTTGGGCTTACCGTCCTTATGGTCGTATCGTGCATCGCCGTGTTCCTCCTGCTCAAGCATCGCGGCGGCGGCGGGAACGCTCGCAAGCAGCGCCAACGCGGCGCCGCAAATGCAGCCACGGGTCCCTCAAGCGTCGGCGGGCAGCTCGAGATGGACTTTCCCGCTGGGCAGCAGGGCCGGCTGGCCAGTGCGTTTGGCGGGAGCCGCAATCGAACGCGGAGCGGGTGGTCGCGCACGGCGGATAGCTCGCAATACGACGCGCTCAACGACGACGATGATGACTGGGACGCGTCGTACGACGGCGCCGCGCATAAGCATACGCATGCCGCGCGATATAAGGAGAGCGAGGCCGCACTCCATGCTATGAAGGCCGCCCGCTCGCTCGCGTACCGCAAGGACAGCGATGCTAGTCGCACGTCCACGGTGCGGATCGACACGACTAATCTCGCCCAGGGTACACGAGACGCCCCAACGTTCGAAAGCCCCACGTCAGGATCGCCTACCAAGCCGTCTGCATCTTTCGAGCATGCTGAGTCGATTAGGCGACGCCAGACCGACGAAAGCACGCTTGTGTCACCAGAGACCCTCGCACATCCGTATGGCTACGGTGGCAGCAAGTTCCATGAGATCATCACATGACTTGAGGTCACACGGACCCATCCTGTTGTGCAGTCGGACACTATCGGTTTACTGATCATGTATTCTGTACAAGTAACTTCGCAGCAGTTCGCTGTATTTCAATGTAACACGACGCATTTTGCAACAGTTCACTCCACTCGAAATTGGCCACGAGAGCCGGCACCGAGGTGTCCCTACTTGATTCGAACGGTTTCGTAACCTTTGCAGACGCATGACACACATCGATGGTCATGTCATCGGTTCAAATCAAAGGACTCGACAGTTGTATTGCCGAGAAAAACATAGAATGACCCCATCAGCTTTCCGTTCTTGACCTCCTGTTCCGTTCGGTTTCTCTCCCGAGAAAGAGTATACCAGAGACGGACGCAGAGAGGCGGGGCGACATCCGAGGACCGTTTGACGGGTCACATCGTTCCGCGACACAGTGTAGGCTGTCATCATCTGGGGTTGCTAGTCGCAACACTTGTGGCTAGCAAAAAAAAAGAGTGTGGGCAAGTACAAGTGCCGATACATAAATCTGCGTCTAGAACTCAGTGACCGGTTGCAAGAACGTCTCGACAGCTGAACAACGCACCTATTTTATTTGACCTTCTAGACTTTGCGCACCTTGTCCGCCTCTTTCTTGGTGGCCTCGGCAGCCTGCTTGGTCTCGACCTTGGCCTTTTCGATAGCGTGAGCGACCTTTGCCTCGACCTTGTGCTCGGCCTGCTTCGCCCAGCTAAAGGCCTCGCGTAGCTGTAGACCGGTCACGCGCTGTGTCTCGCCGACGGCCCACTCGGCGCCGTTCTTGACCCTCTCGAGCGTCATGGCGGAGTGCGCGCGGGCGGTCCCAACGATCTCGCGCGAGCGCCCGACCACGGCGTCGTGCTGCTTTGCAAACTCGGGCACGTACGCGTGCTCAAGTTGACTGAGCCAGGCGGAGATGTTGGCGGTCGTTCTGGGCAGGAAGTATGGCATGGCGCCGATGAAAAGGGCCGGCGGGAGGAGGAAGCGCACGGGAAAGACGCGCCCACGGGCGAGGATGGAGCCTGTAAGACCAGCGACACCGACGTAGAGGATGCCAGGGGTAATGGACTCGTCTTTGGCCTGAACGACTTGATTCGACCTGTAAAATAAGGTTAGACCGAAGCGGCTTTTGGTAGAAGAAAAATGGGACGCGCTCTCGACGTGCTGCTCGACACCGATCCAGCGCTCGACAGATTGCTGGACGGCACTCCGCGTTTCGATAAACTTGTCGGTGATCACAAGACGCACGTTGCGAATCTCGAGCTCGAGACGTGAGGGGTCCGGCTCGAGCAGGATCACGGGCTCCTCCTTGGGGTATATCGACAGCTACACGGGTCAGCATCTCTGCCGCGAACGCAGCTACGCCGTGCGCACTTTGGACTTGTCCGCTGAGGACGAGCCTACACTGGGACCCGTGGCGACGATGGCAGCTGCGCTGAGCAGCGTGCGCCGTGTCTGCGCGGCGCGAAACATTCGTCGGAAATTTCAGGAGGAAGGGTTTCGTGACCGAGCCGGTTGGCTGTTGCTTCTCGTCCTCATGACTGCTGGGCTGCAGAGTCGATGGCGAGCACAGACCAGCTGCGTCTTCCTATCGAGATTCTGCAACCCGTATTTGAACTCGTAGCGCGCGAAACAGCGTTGGATGGCCCGCCATGCGTCGCAGACATCGTCGCGGTGTCGTCGTGGGTCCGCGATTGGGTGCTGCCCATCCTCTACACCGTCCTGGTAATTGACACGCGGGTCCCACGTCGGTGTAAACTATTCGACTACCTCGCGCTGCACCCAGAGTCGTCTGCACGCGCCCACGTGCGTCACATCGTCTTCCTCGGCCAGCTGCGCAGCCATACCATCCTCGGCGCTTCCTTCTCAGTGCGCAACCGCCTGCCGCCGCCCGCGCGCAAGAGCTCCGCATCGCCATGGCAGGTCGAGAGCGTCGCGGGCTACGGCAGCTTCGCAATCAGTGGGTTGCTGCGCGCGCGCTACGTGCACTTTGTCGGCCCTGTGTACCCGTTCTACGCGAGCATCTCATCGCGCAGCGCCTACGCCAAGCACGCCGTCGCCGCGCGCTCCCTCGGAGCGTCTCGCATGCGCTTCCGCCTCAGCCCGCAGCTCGATGATGTCTGGACCCTGCACAACTCGATGCGCGCCTGGTCGTCAGACAGCTTCGTCAGCGACGTCCGTGTCCAGCTAGTCCTGCCCTCCAACGCCGACGATGTACCCGCTGCACTCGCCATCGTCGTCAAGATGGTCGGCAATGCCGTCAGCGCGCTCAGACATCTCTCGGGCAATCTCGCGTTCAGGCTCGAAAGCCCCGTGCTCGTCGATGGTGTCCCTGACGAGGTCGCCACGGTGCAGCACTTGCGTGATTTGATTG